AAAAAGAAGTGCAAGAAGCGTATCAGTATTTAACTCAGAGAGATGATTTTATTATTTTCCTATATCCCATCTTACAGAGCTATGTACAGTATATATAGAAATATTCAAGTATAGGGCACACGTGTAATACAGTGATAGGTGTTTATTTAAATACATTAAATGTGGTACTATTCGATCAGTATTGCTTTTGTCTTCTAATATGCCCCCGCAAACTGATGGATCGGAAATGATCGTCAATTGGAACCTTAAAGTTTGAAAGCGAGGTGTTGTCATATTTTTGGTGAATATGTCAGCTATTTGATCAATAGAGTTGATGGGCATAATCCGAATCTTGTTGTGCTGAATCTGATCCCGTAGAAACCGATGATCTATTTCTATGTGCTTTGTCCTTGCGTGAAAGACCGGATTATTGACGAGCGCGATGGCGGATACATTGTCACACAATAGATCGGATGTGGAGGATTGGCTTATGTTAAAATCGGCCAACAGTCTTTTGATCCAAATCAAATCGGCGGTGGCTGCTGCTAATGCACGGTATTCGGATTCGGTAGATGATCGTGCCACTGTCGTTTGTTTCTTGACTGCCCAAGAGACTAGAGTGTGACCGAGAAAGGTACAATAGCCGGTAGTTGATTTTCTGGATAGCGTATCGCCGGCCCAGTCTGCGTCTGAGAATGTGAGAAGTTGAAGATCTGATTTGGTGATAGGAAGTCCAAAATGCCGAGTGCCTTGTATATATATGAGAAGGCGTTTTAATAGATACACATGATTATATAAAGGGTTGTGCATATATTGAGAAAGTACGTTGACGGCGAACGCGATGTCCGGTCTGGTTAAGGTAAGATACTGAAGTGATCCTATAATTCGCCTGTAAACTGCAGGATTGGACAATGTGGTGTCTGGCGTAAAATCTGCCGGCAATTTGGTTGCCGTCGGATTAGTCAACGGCTTGCACGTCTGGAGTCCTGCTTGACATAAGATAGATTATGCATATGCCTTCTGAGACAAGAAATATGAATTAGCATTAGACTGAATACTTATGCCAAGAAAGTGATTTGTTAACCCAAGATGCTTTAGATTGAAGCGTGATCCGAGCTGAGAGATGAAGACGAAAATGGCATGTTTGTCGTTGCCTGTAATAAGTAGATCATCCACATAGACTAGCAGGTACATTTGAATGTTGTTGTGTTTGTATGTAAGTAGGGATGGATTGGCTTGACTGCACTTGAAGCCGAGAGATATGACGTGCTCTGTAAGAGTGGTGTACCATTGTCGCAGGCTTTGTTTAAGATCGTAGATAGCTTTTTGAAGTAAACACACATGATTTGGTAGCGAGGAGTCTTTGAATCCCTTTGGTTGACGCATATAAACCGTTTCCGATAGTTTACCGTGGAGAAATGCATTTTCTACATCAAATTGTTGGATATCCCAGTTATGAAAGAGAGCGACAGTCATAAGGATACGAATGGAGGAAGTTTCGCAACGGGACTGAATGTTTCAAAATAATCGATTCCTTGTTCTTGGTTGTTTCCTTGTGCCACCAGGCGAGCTTTAAGTCTTGCCACCGTCCCATCCTTGTGCCGCTTAGTACGAAAGGTCCATCGACAACCTAAGACGGAAGCTGACTGAGGATAAGGAACGAGAATCCAGGTTCCTTGTTTCTGTAATGCTAAGAATTCGGTTGCCATAGCTTTACGCAGTCAGCAGATTTTGCTGCTTCATTGTACGAAGTTGGTTCGAAGCTGCTGGTAAACGTTTGCTGGTGGAACAGGTTAAGTCTTGTGCGTGGCTTCAGAGATCCCGTTTGTTGCCGAGTGATCATGGGATGATGATGAATGTGGTGAGGACTTATAATAGGTAAGGGATTCGGTTAAGTGATCTGCTGAGCGTTATTGGGTTGAGGGGTGGGACACTGCGTGGGGCTAGGTAGTATGGTGGGTGAGTGGTGCTGCACTTGGGAGATCGATAGTAATAGGGAACTTGTGATGCTGGGATTAATTTCGGATGGCTGCTGTATTGCACCCGCGAGGAATGGAAAGGAATTTTCCATGAATGTGACATGGCGGGAGAATTGAATGGAGTTAGTCTGTCTGTTTAGACACTTGTACCCTTTGTATTGTTCCGAATAACCGAGAAATACACATGACGTGGATTTTTGCTGTAGTTTGTGTCTAAGTGGAGGATGTGAGAGTGGAAAGCATTCACATCCGAAGGTTTTGAGGTGAGCGTAAGAGGGTGTTTGTTTGTAGAGAGATTGGAAAGGGGATGTATTATCAGTATTGCTGGACGGTAACCTGTTGATTAGGTAGACAGCGGTGTTAGCGGCATCAGGCCAAAATTGTGGTGGAACGGATGCCTGATGGATTAGAGTTCTGGTTGTCTCGATTATATGGTGATGTTTGCGCTCCGCAACCCCATTCTGCTCCGGTGTATATGGACACGAAAGTTGGTGTTGTATGCCATTAGAGCTCAGAAATTGGTCGAGCGTGTTGTTACGGTATTCGGTGCCGCCGTCAGTCCTAAGAATCTTGATTTTGTAGTTAGTTTGATTTTCAATAAATGTTTTAAAATTAATAAAAATATGCGGAACATCCGATTTGTTCTTGAGAGGAAAAATCCATGTGTAACGAGAAAAATCGTCAATGAATGTAACATAATATCGAAAACCTTGGTTGGACATTACGGGAGAAGGCCCCCAAACATCTGAATGTAACAAAGCAAGAGGAGTTTTCATTCTATTACAAGATTTAGAAAAATGAATTTTATGGCCTTTACAATAACTACAAGCCACACAGTTGGATGAAGAGACAGAAATCTGAAGTTGAGGATTAGCGGTAGCAATCAGGCGCATGGTTCTTTGGTTGGGGTGGCCAAGCCGATTGTTCCACACAGTGGAGGAAGACCTGTTCGTCTGAAGTGCCATCGTAGATGTAGACGATTCCGCGATGGGGTAAAGACCGTCTTTACATGGGCCGCGTAGGATGATACGATCCGTTGTCATATCCTTCATAGTAAAACCGTTATGATTGAACGTAATAGAGATATCGTTATCCTTAACAAGATTAGATATAAACAATAGATTATATGATATTTTAGGAATGTGAAGCAGATTTGATAATTTGAGCTTACGGGAGGGAGTGGGAAGAATACCGGTACCCGAATGGGCTATTGGAATATGACTGCCATCACCAATGGTGATAGAGTCAGATCCTTGATAGCTTGCGGAGGTGGTCAGATTGTCGGTGTTATTCGTCATGTGAGATGACGCGCCCGAATCAAGATACCACTCGTTGGGGTTCTTGGAGTCCATTGTTGCGGTGAACGCCTTAGGTTGATTTTCAGTTTGTTGTTGTTGGACGTAGTTAATGTTGAGCCTGTGCCAACAAGAAGTTGCGTTGTGGCCTTTCTTGTTACAAATCTGGCAAATGGAGATCGGTTTGGAGCATTCACGCCCTAAGTTTTGCGGACCTGGTTGAGACCGACCCCTATTTCTTTTGAAGCATCCTCAACCTGCATAGAGAGTCGATTGCTGATCGGTTTGTAAAGATGATCTGGCAACGTCGTTGTGGACGTGAATTTCTTCGCTTATGAGAAGAGAGTAAAAGTTATCAAGACTCGAGGAGCTTTGCATTGTGCGAATGGTGGTTTTGAAAGCTTGATATTGTTGTGGTAGCCCATTTAGGATGTACATGATGATGTCTTCTGATTCAATTGTGGACCCAGCATCGGCTATCTGATCCACGAGAGTCTTGATAGTTGTGAGATACTGAATCATGGTATGATTCTTCATTGAGATACTGTTGAGCTCGATTTTAAGTTGGAGAACCTTTGATCGGTTTGATGATTGGAATCTTGTTTCAAGCGCTTTCCAGATATCTGTTGTTGAATCAAGATTTAAAACATAGGGTAATATCGTGGGTGAGATTGTAGAACAGATTGCCGCGGAGAGGTTTCTGTCAGTCAGAAGCCAGAGGGCGGTTGAGGAGCCATTGGTGGCTGCTTGTGATGGATCTTGCGTCGCTGAGGATGTGCATGATGGTTCAGGAAAATGCTCGAATCCATTTGCCCGGAGTAATTTGACGATCTGGTTTTTCCAAATCGCATAATTGTCGGTGTTTAGCTGGGTTGGCACTAGTGTGCGGAGGTTCGAGACGACGAATTTGAGGGACGCCGATATGCCGGAGTCGGTGGAGCTGGCGGTCGTTGCCGTGAGCAGAGACGTGACAGAGGAAGCCATTTGAGGGGAAGAATCGATTTAGGATCTTGCCATATATGATACCATGTAGAAACATAGAGAAATAAAAGAAGTGCAAGAAGCGTGTCAAGAATTTAACTCAGATAGATGATTTTATTATTTTCCTATATCCCATCTTACAGAGCTATGGACAGTATATATAGAAATATTCAAGTATAGGGTACACGTGTAATACAGTGATAGGCGTTTATTTAAATACATTAAATGTGGTACTATTCGATCAGTATTGCTTTTGTCTTCTAATAGGTGACATATTTATTAATTGTATTGTATTAATAATAGAGAAATTATAACTAATAAATATTTAAGGAGTTTTGTTCTATTCTAGCAAGGGAGGAACTCTTCCACCCAAGTAAAAAAAATTTATTTCAAGATGTTCTTAAGACAGGTTTCAATGCCATTCATTTTATGTTAAAGATTAGTGTAATATATGATATTAAATGGGTACACTAATTTTATCATTAAATGAATAGCATTTGAAACATTCTAGCTCAAACTGATTGCATTAAGAAATTGTGATTTAATTTTAAAAATAATAATAAAATTCACTTAAATTAGTAATTTTAATAAAAATAAATGGTGTTAGTGTCATGGCTAGAGATCGAGTTAATTACATTTAGGAGTGTTGATATTTGTCCCAACTCAAAAAATTTGAATTCAGATCAACCCGTTTGGCAAACGAGTCAGGTTCATATTTCATTATTTGACCTAATTACGGGTCAAGTTCATATTTCATTATCATACCTTAATGCATTTTTCTGTTGAATTCGAGTCGACTCGGAAATCCGAAAGCAACCCATATGACCTGTCACGCCCACGCTTGTAGCGTCGTACGTGTTCACTAGGTTCGTAATCTGTCGCATCTAGCCAATCATGCTAGCACACGCTCGATGCTCAGCCCTCGCGTCGACGCACTACATACGTTCTCATTCATGCCCATGCTCGTTACTCACTCGTTGCAGAATTAGGTTAAAGGATCTGTGCGGACATCGGACGACATCTGTAGACCAATCGGAACTTGCCACGTCATTTTTTTGTTCGGTGCTGATGTTCGGTATCGCTCAATATCTGGTGACGTGGTGGCTTATGATTGATATCCAAACCATCTGGTGTCCTCACAGATTAATTTCTCTAGCTTCACTAGTAAGGTCCCTCTGAAGATAATTTGGATTCCCCAAGATTAGAGATGAAGATGGATGATGGGAAAAAGAAAATAGAGAGATAAATTGGAATCTATATCAAAAAAAAGTTATTTACAATAAATTCGACGTTGATAAAAACAAAAGGCCGTTCGGCTTGACCTAACGCTAGGTCACTAGCAACCTAGCTACAGTTCATATTATCACGCCAGTTCGAAAAGACAAATTTGGGCATCATAGATTGACTAAATTACTGAGTCGAACAGCGTCCTTTTCGTACCCAATGGGCCGTGGCAGCAAATCCGTGACAATATTTATTACTCGATTTAAGATAAACCCTTTAATAAATATTTTTGGCAAATTTTCAAACGTACTTAAACCAAGGAAAATAATATGCCGATTGTGCATTTTTAGGTTCATCGAGATTCGTGTTTCTTGTCAAAATTTGCGTAAATTAAGCATTCAAATTTTCATGATCCCGATAATTAGAATATTAACTTTAATTTATTTAAATTTAATTTCTTTAACTCATGGTGATATAATTTTTTAAAGAATACTTTAAAGAGCATTTATTTGATAAAAAAAATTTTCTGTCGATATTTTTTTGGATAAATTTTAATTAGTGTATAATTTAAAACTTTCATATATGATTTAAGATTAGTGCAAAAAATATATAAATATATATATGAAGTAAGCATTTAAATTCGACTCATTCGAGCCATCAAACTTTTTCAATCAATTATGTGTTGAAGCGAAGTCCTATGTCTCATTTAGGAGAACTTATTCTGTACGGTCACTGAACGCCGTCTGGAGATGAATCAGGACTTGCTACATCTTTTTTTTGTGAGTGTTGTATATCGAGCGACGTGGAGCATTCTGATTTGCTTCCGGACGGCCCGGTGACTGCACAGAATAATTTCTCCTAATTTAGAGTAGTTCAAACTTTTAACTAACGAGATATTAACAAAATTGACTTAATAGCCTCCCAATTTTGTTCCCTTGATGTAACCTATTAAAAGATCATTCATCATATGAGTGCTTCTGTATAACCAACGAGATATTATCTGTTTTGCCTAATGGTCTTAAGGTTTTGCCTTTTTGTGTAACTTCTCAGGAGGTCACTCATTATAGGAGTGTTGTACATAAGCACATTTTACTTTGAAGTTTATAGTGAAATTTCAACAATTATACAAAAAAGACGTCTTGATCTTTTATTTAAGTCAGAATAAGTTTGGATGCTCTGAATCTAAGGCTTTGTTTGGTACATTTTTTTTACATCTTCTTAAACGTAGCTTTCTAATACATCAATTAAAATTTTTGTATTAAAAAGATGTTTTAAGAATCAATAAAAAAATCATCCCAAAAGAAGCCTAAATTGAAATCAGTGCTTTTATATGATATCATGAATTGTATTAATCTTATTCTCTCATAAATTACTTTGTAATATATTTATATATTTATTAGGTTGATTAAATTTGATCCAAATCAAGATTGAAATTAACTTGAAAAATAAAAAATAATTAAATAATTTAAAGATCGAAAAAAGCCAAAAAAATTGAAAAATCAAACTCAATTAAAGTAAAAATATATATTCAATATTTAAATAATACAATGGGCTAAGCCCTCAATTTTCCCAAAAAAAAAATTAAATAATACTCAATCTTATAACTAAAATTAAAACCCTCTCCTTCAAGAAGTTTTATTTGGTCCGGTCGACCGAATGAGAGAAACATTCGGTCGCAGGCAAAATCCTGCTATACCGAGGTGTACCGAGTTTTTTTCGAAAAACTCGGTACACCTCGATATAACGGGGTTTTGCCTGACGTAATAATTGTTCCTCCTTCAAAGACAAATTTGTCTATGAAATCAATAATAACACAGAGCATTTCATAATTTTGCTTAATGAAGTCACTAATTACCACATTGCCATCAGAATCAAGTAGAAAAGCTGGCCAAGTAGAAAAGCAGGCCGCTTGTTCTTTTTGAGCCGATAAAAACACCCATCACCTCACCCTCCTTTTTCCCCGCAAATGCTTCCTTGATTTCTTCTTTATCGGTTGATTTTTGATCTTCTTTTTGAATTCGAAATCTCGCGTGTTTGTCGCCCATTCGTCAAATCCCCAAGCTTTTGCTATCGCAAATCTCGCAGAGAGGACCAAAGCGACGTGTCTCGGTGGCAGGAAACCTTGAACCTCTTCTTTAATCTCAAATAAGAAAGAGCAAACCAAGATTTTGAGGTTTTTATGGATAGAGATTGAAGAGGTAAATTGGTAGCTGCAATTAGTTTTTGGGTCTTTGTTTCTTGATATTTAGCTGTCGATCTTTGTTGTCGATGATTTCCTGCAGCGGCATGCTTTTGGGGATTTTCACTGCTCGATTCCTTTTTCATAGCGTTGTTGTTCTTTTCACAGTTTGGATCCATTAGTACAATGGCGATTACTCGGATTCCCTTTGCTGGATTTCGGATTATGCTGTATTTATTTGTTATTCTGTTGCCTGCCCCCATTGGAACAAGTTTGATGGTGATTTCTTAGCTGGCATTTCGGTGATCGCGATTTTTATTAAATGAGTTTGTCCGTTTGGTGTTATGGATAATTATCTGAAATGTATCTGTCTGGTTGAGGGAAGACTCTTTTTGCGAGAAAGGAAAGGGGTACGGGGGGTTGATGGTTGATTGATCGGCTTTTTTCTTTTGTCGTTCGGTAAAATAAAAAAATGGATTTGTTTCGGTGTTTCTTTTCCGGATACGAATTGTCTGATGCTACTTGTTTTGGAGTGTTGGTGGCCTGGTGGGCCTTTTAGATTGATGTTTCTGTTATCAGATTTCCTTTCCTAATTTGTTCTTTTTTTTTTTCTGAAGTGGAACGCCGTTAAGTAGTAAAGCATAAGATCACGCTATTATTCCTCTTGTGCTCGTCCTTCTAATTGACGTCTTTTTGTGGGAAAAAATCGCAAATTTTTGCCACTCTGCACCTTCAGGGAAAAGGAGAAGCATATTTTTGGCTCGGACTCCTTGAAATTTTGGAAGATAAAGTCTTGACTAGTAATTGAGCCTTCTAAGTTGGAATTTGAAAATATGGAAGATCTTTCAAGTAACAGTGGCTTGATCTCTATATAATGGCATGCTGGAGTGGAAATATCTTCACACTTCAACTGGCAATAAGTTGAACCAGGCTTTGGTCAATCTCCATTAAAAAAACAGCAACCATGCTTTGTGCTTGCTCTGGAGAACGAGAACGCATCCATTTTGATGAAGTTCCTCAATCGCCAGAGTCTCTAGCCACTAGGGACTTCTCTGTAAGTGGCCTTTCATCAAGGACTGGAGATTGGGAAGCAAAGGTTGACATTAACCAACAAGTTGATGATGTAGAATCAGCTTTGAGAGAGGGTCTCTCGTTAAATTACGAGGTTATTTCATTTGTCTTGGCTCAGATATTAATGTTTATTGTCTTGTCTTAATTTATTTGGTTTGAACTTCTTTGCATGGCAGGAAGCTCGGGCATTGTTAGGTCGTTTGGAATATCAAAGAGGAAACTTTGATGCAGCACTGCAAGTGTTTCAGGGGATTGATGTACCAGCTTTGAGGCCAAGAATGGTTATGGCAATTGCAGAAAGAAGTAAGCCAAGAAAACTTCGTTCTAAAGTGGAAATCTTGCCAGTAAATCTAATGTCCTGGCATTCAGTTAGTCTACTTCTGGAAGCATTGTTTCTTAAATCAAAGTCTCTGGAAGAACTTGGACGCTTAGAAGGTATTTGAGATTTTTTCTTGTATAATACATGGCATGCTTCCAATATAATAAATTATTATGATCTTGTTTACACAGATCCGTGGTTGTTTTTCAAGGAACTTTTTATGTTTCAGTTTGCTTCAGCCTGATTTCAGCTTTGTAATTTTTTTTTGCAGTGTTTGGTAGGTTTAGGCTGGAAGATAGATGTAAATTTCTGAAATTCTGAGAGCTTTGAACGATCAAACTTTAAGTGTATGGAATTCTTTGTTACATCATGTTGCTGCTTCTTTGTTATTAGTGGATCAGATCATCTATTGGTTTGGTAGACAATGGCTTGGATGAAGTTGAATTATATAAAATTTTGTGAAGTGCATCATCCTCGATCATGGTGACAATCTAACTTTAAGTTGTTTGGCACCCTTGTTGCAATAATTTGTATCAATTGTAGTTCCTAGATCGATGGTCATAAATTTTGAGATTGAGAAATTTGATTGATCAAAGAGCTTTGGTTTTTAGAAAACCAAATGTATGGTTTTCTGTCTAGAAGGTTCTTACAAAAACTCGATGAGGAGTTTGAAGTTGTCGATGATTATAAGTGAAGAAAATTAGATAAAGATGGATACTAAAAAGCTTTCAATGATCCAACTGTGTGTAGTTGGAACATATACTTGATATTGTTCCTTTGTATTGATGTGCATTTTCAATTCTCCACTTTTATTCAACTAGCTGTAGAGATAGAGGCTGAATAGGTGGTTGGTAGAGTGATCGGAGATTTATAGTTACATTGGCATGTGTCATAGGAAGGATTTCTCAATTGAGTAGTTCACAATGAGCATTGAAGGATTGAAAATAGAAGTTTGAAGCCAAAGGATTTCACAAGGGGAAATTGGTGATTATAACAGGGTCAGTGAATGAGGTCGACTTGGAGTTGGCAAGCTTTCCTTTAATGTCCCGTGAGCATAAGTATTGCAAGAATTGTGTTGGAGAATAAAAATAGTGATGAAAGAATAGTAGTTAAGATAAAGAAGAGAAAAATATTTATACAATATATTTATATTTAATTTAGTAGAAAATTCATCTCTTTATCCAAATATGAAAGTGGCAAGCTTTCCTTTTATCTGTTGTGAGCTAGCTAGTGCAGGAATTGTGCTCAGGTTTGGCGAGGAAAAAAAAAGAGGCAAGAATACTAGTGAAATTAAAAAAAAAAAAGAGAAAAACATATGTATACTATATTTATTTTTAATCTAATGGAACAGTAATCTCTTTATGCAACCATGGATGGAGAAAAACTTTGTCAAACTATGTAAATCTCTTATCTCTCATTTCTTCCTTGCATATTATATTTTCCCGTTCTTGTGTTTGTCCTGTTTTCATAAACTTTTCCCTAACAACTAGTATTGGAATCGGGCTTTGTGATTCTATGGAAAAGTCAGAGTAAAGACTTTTAAGAATGGCAAGTGAAGACAACAAGTTTGATAACAAGATTTTGGGTATTGGAAGATGGGGATCATGGATCATCTATGCCATAAAATGTCACAGCTACATATTTTGGAGATGAAGCTAACAATCATAAGAAAAGAAAATTGGGATCTCCTTAACAAATGAGTGGTAGGAGTCGTAAACCTAACATTGACAAAGAGTGTTACTTTTAATATATTACACAATAAGGATTTAACTAATGCAATGAAAGCTTTGTCAAATATGTACAAAAAACCTTTTGTTATACACAAGATATATTCAATGATAAAGCTTTTGAATCTCAAGGTGGTTGAAGATGGTTCTATAGAAGAGCATATCAACATGTTCAATTTGATCACGATTAGTTGAGCATATCAACATGCTTTAGGCCACTATTGCAGCCCTTTATTTTTTTTATTTGGAGCACATGATTTGGGCATATTTTTTGATATCAGTAAGTAGTTGCTACTGTAAAGACTTATTTATGCACATTTGTTTTATTTCAACAAGCTCACAATTTTTGTTATAAATCTTGATATTGTGCATTACGTGAGTTTTATGTTTTTTGTAGTTGGCGTGTTACCTTATGTGCTATTTTCCAAAATATTACATGTTTATATTATGATCCTGAGATGATTAAACAAAGAAGAAGTATCTACCCTTCTCTCTTCCTATGTCTAAAATTTTCATGCAGAGGCTATGACTCCTTATTTTTTAAGTACTACTTGTCAGATAAAGGTGAAAAATATTCGAAGGTAAAAATCTGTATTTTGTGTTACCACTGATCTAGTAGAACAAATCTATCTTTGTGCAACTGCAAATGTAGGTGGACTTTTTGAAACACATAAAATTTGGCTCTTGTTTTTCCGGTGTCTAGCATGTAAACTTTGTGTTCTCACATTTGTCATTGCTCTCACATGTGTGTTATTTTTTTCAAAACTGAGAACATCCAATCTCACCGCATCGAGAAGCATCAAAATATTCTTGCTAAACAATTTGGAAGCATTCTTAATATCTTGTAGAAATACAAGAATTGAGCTAGTGAGATAATCAGGCATCAAGCCATCTAGTTCATGTCATACTAATAGATCTCTAGAGTAGTCTGAATGCTTCTTGAAGATGACACTTGTTTTGTTGTTGTGCACGAGATCACCTTCTAGTAGGAATATCAACCAAACACAGTAATAAGGAGTTTATTGTTCATCAGTCTTGAGTGATCAGTTACTCATATTACAAACTTAGAAAATCCACCATAACATTTCTTTCTTAGCCACCTTAGCACAATTTTTTTACCACAAAACTTTTACTGCTATTAGCTTATTAAAGATACATCAATTTCATTCCTTTATCTCCAATCAAGCAAATAAGACATTCAAATTAATTTTTCCTATACAAATAATGGGCCCCAAAAAAATGATGGAATTTCAAGATAGTAATTTATGGAAGCATGCGCCTCCGCTTTTAGTGTTTCCAAGCCTATGGCTATTTTCATTTCTCTAACTTTTAGAGATAATATTTCATAAAAATGGTACTGAGTAAACTTTATGTTCATAAATGCACTGAAAATCAGATACATGTTTTAGGCTCTTTTAAGGCTGGTAATTTTTCGTCTTGTTTGTTCATATTATGGGAAATAGTATACATTTGAACTTTAGGCGCCCTTAATGTTTGAGTTTCTATGTTAGTTATATTTTTCTTGGTATGTGCAGTTGTTTTTAATTTCTCATACCTGAATGATTACTAAATATTGGTGTTGGTCCCAAAATTGTCTCTGTTAGGTGTTAAGCAAGTTTAAAAATATTAAATTAGAATAATCATATAGTTTTTTTTTTTAATATATAATGCAACATCTGATGTTTTCTTATGGAGTTATTGCGGGCTTTGAAAGGAAAACCTGGCTCAGGGGAACTAGGAGAGAATGATTTTGTGGAAAATTTTGATTGTAGATAAAATATTGTTAATATATTTCATCTTTATGAAGACTTTATGTTCCTAGTTTAAGGCTTTCCATGAGCATAAGCCTCCTAGTAAATTATGTCTCTCTATCAAGAGAGAATTTTTTATGGCTAGTTTTTAGGTGCTATGATGATTCGTAGTGGTAGATTCCCTTGTAGTTTAATTTGCTGCAATTTGAATTCGAAGGATAGATTTGCCATCATAGATTATTTGTTTGTGGTGAATGATGATAAATCAGATCAAAATCTTATGAGATTGTATTCGAGTTGTCATAATCTTTGATTTCTTCGGTCAGAGAAGGCAATATGATATAATGAAAAAAAAAATAATCATGTAGCTAACCACATGTAGTGGGATAAAGATTTGATGTTGTTATTGTTGTTGATGTTATTGGTCAGAGAATGTAGTCAAACCAAGCAGTCAATAGTTGCTAATTGATTCATCTGAGATAAGTTGTAGTCCGGAGGAAAGTTTGGTTATGGGGCTAATTTTTATATCACTTTTGATTAAAATAGTACTTAATGCCTTGTGCAGTGCGTCTCACAACTAACAACTGATGTAGGACTACGATGATTGCAATGATTATATTAAGAGCTTGCACAACTTATTGATTAGAGAAATATCAAAGAAGCCTATTAGCAAATAAAACGATGAATCAAAACGTAAGAGGGGTCACTGTCGTTTAGGCTAAGTTGTACATCAAAAGATTTTGAATCATCAAAATAATGTAAGAAAATAACATCATGCCAAAGTAGTAATTTTCAACGAAATCCCTAGTCTAACAATAAGATTAGAAAATAATGAATGCACTCAAATCCCTACGTTTACTAAGCTTAGCAGAATCGGGCGAACGCGTCCTTCGTGACTACAATCAAATCACAAAAGGGGGTTAGGCTTAAGAAATATAAGAAAAGCAAAATTAGAAAACCTTCGTCAATGATCGGTTGCAATCCTCCACTCGACGATCTCTAGTTGCTATTCAACAGCTTCAACCAAAGTGTCCAAGATGCGTTCTATGTAATCCTCAACCGTGTGATCGATCATCGGGTTGACGTCAAAGAAGGTTGAATGGAGAATGTGCACGAAACCGTGTTTGTCGTAGGCAAATCCGTAGTCAATCGGGATCGGCCATTCATGAATGCTAGATGACGATTTCTTCCCAAAGATTGCTAGTAATCTCGAACGCCGTTGAAGAGAAAAAAGTTTCTCTTCAACTTGAAGTAGGGATGAAGAAAAGTGGACGGCCAAGGGAGGAGAGCAAGGTTAACTCACTACTTCCTAAATATTCTCTTAATTAAAAATAATCAAAGGAAGAGAGAAGAGGCAAGAGGGGAGTGGCGACAAGGGGAGTGGGGAAGGCTTGATTTAATTCCACAAGGAGATACTCCCTTTTATAAAGAAATGAAATCAAGGGGGAGCATGAAGATTTCGGCCGAGGGAATAGGGGAATTTGAAATTATTTCCCAAAGTAAGAATTTGCTTTTAGGAAATATTTCCTATCCCAAACCAAAGAGGGGGGCGGCGGAATTGATGGGGGAGGAGGGCTTTAATCAAGTGTTTAATGCTTGCTTAATTTGAGTTTGGAAATTAGGAAAGTATTTAATTAAATCCGATTTCAATTTGAAATTCAAATAGATTTAATTTAGAAACTTTCCTAAAATAACTTTGGTAATTTAGGAAATATTTTAAATTTCAAATTATTTGAATTTGAATTTAAAAATATGTCCAAATTATACCAACCTAAATTAGGCAAGGGAAAGCAAAGGGGGAGGGGATCTAGGGCCGGCGGGTTTCGGGCTTGGGGCCGACGGCTAGGTGGGGGGTTATGTGGAGCTGGGTGGAGAGAAGGGGAGGACTTGGGGAAAGGGAAAACCGTGGGGATGATGTTGGCCGGTGGTGGTGAAAGCGGAAATGAAGAGATACGTAATAGAACCACGAATCCGACTCGTCTAGGTTGGTGGGTGATGCGCAATCTTCCCTCTCCGATTTCTCAAGCTCTCACAAGACTCATGCAAGTGGAAGAAATATTTTTTAATCAATCATTCATTACTTTCAAAGAGAAACATAGAGACTATAAATAGCCTCGTACATAAGACTCAAAAATAAGAAAGACGATAATGCCCTCAGGGCTTAAATACAACATCCATTAATAAAAGGGTACAACATGAAACTAAATAAAACAAATACAATACGACATCATAAATAAGAAAATACATAAAACAAATCAAAAATACAATACTCAATCGTCACCGTAGATCGGCGGCCACGTCTCTGATAAACTTTTCATGATCTGATGTCCCCATCAACAACTTGATGGATTTAGTCATTAAGTAGAATGTTTAGTTGCGGTCATGACTCATACTCAGCCAAAGGGCATGCATCCTGATTGAGATATCATGGTGTTGATGCCCAGTTAAAAACTGTCACAAATACATATTGAATACCCCAAGTTTGTGCCTCAACTGCCATATAATGATGTTGTCCCCTAAATCATGCATCGCCAGGCCACATCAAACACAAATCGTCTCCATTATAAATTTTTTTAGTATGAGCATACTGACACCTTTTATGGCACTAGCTTTTTTATCGTATATGTTAACTTTTTTACCTATTTTATTAATATTATTTTTTTTATATTATTATGTAACAGATGCTGCTGCCGAATGTAAAACTATTATTGACATTGTTGAATCTGCATGGAATAATGGTGTACCTGTTGGTATCGGAGCTGAGTGCAAGTTAAAAGAGATTTTTCACAAAGCGCTTCATTTACTTCCCCGACTCTGGCAACAGGCTGGTCTCCTTGAGGATGCTGTTGCTGCCTATCGCCGAGCTCTAACCAAGCCTTGGGATTTATCTCCTGAAAGATGCGCCAGTCTTCAAAAAGATTTGGCTATTACTCTACTCTATGGAGGAAGTGAAGTAAGCCTCCCTCCTCATTTGCAACAAAACTATGGATCTCGAAGCCCCAAAAATAACACAGAGGAAGCAATTCTTTTGTTGTTCCTTCTCATTGGAAAGGCAACATCCCAGGAAATAAGTTGGAATGCTGAAGTAATGGATCATCTTACTTTTGCACTGTCTTTTTCTGGACAGTTTGAATCTTTGGCTGGCTATGTTGAACACATACTTCCTGGTATGCATAGTAGACGTGAAAGATGGTATCTTCTTGGACTCTGTTATAGTGCTGCAGGTCTTGATGATCCTGCTTTAAATCTTCTAAGAAAGGCTTTAGGCCCTTCAGAACAAAAGAAGAAAGATCATTTTCTATCACTTGTTTTAGCTTCGAAGCTTTGTCTTAGAAATCCTGCTCATGCTGATGAAGGTTTAGACTATGCTAAGAGGGCAATCAAATGCTCCACTGAACAACAAAAGCATCATCTCATTGGAGTTGCCAGTCATTTGCTCGGGTCTTCTTATAGACATTGTGCTAAATCCTTAAAATCTGATTCAGAAAGGTTAAAGTTAGAGAGAGAATCATTAAATTCACTTAAATATGCCGAAAGCATTGAGAAAAATGATGCACATGTAATTTACAGCATTGCTTTGGAGCATGCAATGCAAAGGAATCATAACTTGGCTAGAGAATATACAATCAGGTATCTAAATATGGTGGCTGGTTGTTCTGTGAGGGGATGGAAACTATTAGCTCTTGTGGTATCGGCCGAGCAGAATCTTAAAGAGGCAGAAGCAATAGTTGATCTCTCCATTGATGAATCTGGGAAAGTGGAACAGCTGGAGTTACTAAGGCTGAAAGCTATCCTTCAGGTTTCTCAGGAAGAGCTCAAAGCTGCAGTAGAAACCTACAGGTTTCTACTTGCCAATATTCAGTCGCAGAGAGAAAAACAATCATGGCGTAACAACTGTGAGGTAACACCTATAGCAGCAAAATGAAGCCCTGTTTTTTTAAAGCTTATGACATCCTCACTTTCTGCAAAATTTAGGATCCGTTTAAGACAGTTTTTTACAATTTTGCCTTTCAAACCGTCATGATTGTTTAATTGCTGCTTTTTAAAAGTTTTATTGTGAGAAGTAGCTTTTACAACAAAATTTATTAGATTGTAGTGACTGTAAGAAAATTATTTTCCTTTAGTTTCCAAAGTAAAAATATTATAATACCATAGCAGCTTTCAAAAAGTTAAAATATTATTTATCCCTAGAAATATATTTACAAATAACTACAGCCAACCTAAATAGACATTCAAGCTGATGGGGGATTCATTTCACTCATTATTTTCCTGACATTCATGCTTTTTCTTCAATCAGATTGAAGCACAGCAACGACTTGAAATGGAAACGTGGTTGGACTTGGCCTTTGTCTATACCAAGCTTGAGCTATGGGCTGATTCTAATATTTGTCTGAATAGAGCAAAATCACTTGGATTTTTTTCTCCCAGGACTTGGCATGCAACAGGTTAGCATCTTTACCATGTTTTTGTCCTGAAAATGTTCTATGAAAACACTCGATTAATCACTAATCATCTCCACTATGATGACTCTCACATTGAATTTTAGATATTCAAAGGTAATTATTATGATCATTGTCATGAACTCCTATCACTAATGTTGTAGGCAATCTGTTTGAAGCTCAATCATTGCACAAGGAAGCTTTAGCTGCCTTTTCGATGTCGCTCTCAATAGAATCAGATCATGTTCCAAGCATGGTATCTGCTGCAGCAGTTCTGAGGACCCTCGGCGATCGGTCTTTGCCGATCGCCCAGAGCTTCTTGATGAATTCTCTTCGAATCGAGCCCACGAATCATGATGCCTGGTTGAACCTCGGCTTTGTGGCCAAAAAGGAGGGATCACTGCAGAAAGCTGCAGACTGCTTTCAGGCAGCTTATGAACTCGGGTTGTCATCTCCAGTTATGAAATTTATGTGAGTACATTTCAGCTTAGTAGAAAAAAGTTTGATGTCTTCCAATTTTTTCATAAGCTTGTGTATAGATTAATAAAATTGCAGGCATGTTGGGAGTCTAGAAATAACCATCTTGAGATTGGTGAATGTAGATTGTGCGAGAATCCTTGTTTTGATAGTACATGTGTGAATATATTAGTTAGTTGGAAATATTTGGTAGGTTCTTTGCAGGTTTATTATTATACAGTCACTAACAAAAAAAAAACTAGTCAGCTTAAAAGATAATTAATAAAATGAACATGAAATATGCTTGTAGGCTAATAAGGTTATTTATATTGATATTTCAAGCATTCATATTAAATAAAAATTTGTGCTAAGTGAATATGGTAACTAGATTGTTCATTGCGTCGCATGACCAATGGCATGACCAATGCGAGGAGAAATTATTATGTACGGTCATTGGATTATTTGAAGGCGAATTAGAATATGTCATGTCACTCATTATATACTGCTATCTGGCACAGTCTGATTCGCCTCCTGATGGTGTTCGGTGATGGCACAGTAATTAAAAAATTAGTTGAAGTGTATCAGGCTTTCTATGTATGAAGATTTGATAAAAGTGGAAAGCCAAATTCATTTTGTTTGTAGGCTTATCATTCCGAAGAAGGCCCTCATAATATATAATTCAGTTGAATATAGTTAGAATTTAATTTAACGGTTATAAATCATAAACCCACAATCTACGAAGCGCATCATGTCGAACAAAAGAGACATTTTAAAAAATTTAATAAATTAGGATTCAAGCACAGATTGAAGCTCATATAGCATGACAGCACAAGTTTAAGATTATGAACCCAATTGAACTCAACAAAATAATCCATAGAGCTAACTCATCAAGTATATAATGATTAATATATATATATTAAAAATCCTAATCACCTTGATTCACTCAAGCAGTCGAGAGATTATTATGCGCGTGAGTCCGAAAATAGAAAACCGTTTGATTTTGTAACTGTGAATAATAAAAATACAATAAAAGTGCATGGATGAACATTAAAAACACAGTGATAAATAGTAACTACACTTTTATTATTTACAATCACAAAATCAAACAATTTAAATGTTTGAATTTTGCACGTCATAATCTCTCCTCGTACAGGGAGCATCACATAACATCATTTTTCCCTAGCATAAATTGAAACCATTACATCATTACCAAGAGTTG